GCTGGCCGGACCGCCCGCGGGGCCAAAGCACCAAAGATGCCACCCTGGCCCGGCCGTGCCCTGGGCAGTCTGCGCTGAGCCTGCCAAATGCGCCCGGGCGTGCCAGCCCTCCTAAGGCGACAGGGCAACGGCTCTCTGCCAGCCCTGGTAAGTGGCCATTGCCTAGAGGGACGACAGCTGCCCTGGACGACCACACTGGGCACGGACCAGCCGCTGGGCAGGGCATTCCGGAGCAGAGTGAGGCTGGGGCTTGGGGAAAGGCGGGCTCTGCACGGGGCAGCTGGGCGGGGAGTGGCGTGTGGGGAGCCCAGGGACAGGGCTACCACTGGATGGAACAAAAGCCCAGCCCTGCAGAAGCCACCAGATTGCACCCACCTTTCCACTCTGCACTGTAATTGTCACACCTCAGGGGGTGGGGTACGGAGGGTCTCTAAGCACAGGGGTCTTCAGAGCCCCAACCAAGTTCTCTGAGCAGGTCTCCCGGCTGACCTGTTCTGCCTCGGTTTACCCATCCATGATGAGCAGGTGACCATGTTAACTCTCAGGACTGTTTGAACAAGTCTCCTAGTCTGTGTGCCCTAGCCACTGCGTGGACAGGGAATGAGAGAGAGTCTCGGGCTCTTCATGGGTCCTTTGTAGGGGCCAGTCTTCAGTGTGTGGCCCCCAAGCCTGAGGCCTCCCACGCTTAGTGTCCCTGGCCCCCTTGGGAACTCTCCCCACCCCCAGCTAAAGCACAACACTCCTGCACCATCACCGTTGGCACCACACCCACCGTGACCACTATTAGTGTCCTCACCCTCATCACTGCCTTCATTGCCTATGCCCACCATGTCAGCCACCTCTGTGACTCCCACCATGAAGATCGTGGGTACATGGTGGAAAGGATTGACGCAAAGGGGAAGTGGGCTTCCTTTTCTTGGTGCCCATCCCCAACCTGTACAGGTCTGGCCAGAAGGGATCTTGGCTTAGAGGCCTTCCAGATTCTGAGTTTAGGGCCCAGTACCTGGTGAGCACCTTCCTCCACCCTGGGGCAGGGCTCCTCGTTGCTCTCCATCCTGGGCAGACCTTTGGCAGGCCTGAGCTTGGCCATGGGCCTAGGGAGGGCCTGCTGGCTCTTCCATGGAGAAAACCCTAGATTCAGGCTAAGGAGAAGCGCAGGAACAGCTGTGACCTTGAGCTGGATGGACGAGTGAATGCAAAGGCTGTTGACTGTCTCATCCTGTTTCCTGCCTCCATGCAGTGGCCTCTACACATGGAGACCTAGAATGGGTTCCAGGGTCGGCAAGTAGCTGGCCTACACCCTCTTCCCTCCTGCTCTGCAATCTGGAATTGCAGCACTGCCTCTGCGCCTCAGGTGGCCAAGCCTGGCTCCTCACCTTCCAGTTTCCCAGCTCCAGGGAAGCCTCTGGGAGTGGGGAGGATGGGGGGGGGCCTGCCCAGCTCTGTCTCAGCTTCAGAGTCCCCTTCAGTCTGGTTGTGGGGTATCTTACGGAGGATGAACTGGCCACAGGGGAGTAAGGCAGGGGCTCCAATCCAGCCTCAGCCGTAGGAGGCCTATCTCGCCAATGCTGCTGTGCCTTCAAGGACCGACATGTCACGTGGGGGCAGAGGTCACCAGTTAGCCACTGCCCCCCTGCATCAGGCTGGCCAATTTGTCACCTTGGGTTTTCACTGTATATTTCATATCCAACGGCAATACTTGCAGGGAGGCCTGGTCCCCTGAAGTCCCTCCAGTCCTGGTTTTTACAAAATTAAAAAGGAGGGAGGACTCCATGTGGGGGACCCCGTAGCCTGGATCTCCCTCACTTTGTCCAGCCTCCAGGCCTGTTTGCTGCCTTGGTAAGCAGCTTGACCCTGGGTTCATGGGGGAGGGAGCTCTGTCTTCATACCACCACCCAGCCCAGAGCCAGGGATCCGTTTGTAGTTTTTTTGACAACTGAGCATTTCTCTTCTGTACAGAATCCAATAAAAACTTCCTGTGATTTGCACCAGGTAATCCCAGGCTCGTTTCATGGAAACACCTCTCTAGAGCCTAACAGCACGCTGGCCGGCTACCCCCATACATATCTCCTTCTGGGTTCTGAATGACTCCTCCATGCGCCCTTCCTTTGGGTCTGATTTGCTCCCTTTTCTACGCAAATCCTGCGACCCCACCCAGCGTGTGAGACAGGCTTGGAGCACTGGCAGGATGGGGTGGTGGGATGGGCTCTACAGCCCTAATAGAGGAAGGAGACGACCTAAGGGTTCCCTAGCCCCTGTGAGGTTGATTCTGGAGGTGAGAAGAGCAGAGCAGTTGCAGCCGGGCCTCGCGGCGGGAGTGGC